CAGCTGAACGATGTTTCTCTCTCATAGATGTTTCTGGCTCTCTGTCTCTCTCCCTTCCTCTCTGTGAAAGATCAATAAAATATATTTAAAAAAAAAAAAAAAAAAAAAAAAAAAAAAAGAACAAATATCCCAAAGTGGGGACTATAAGGGCGTGACTATTGGTCCCAACAGTCTTCTCCTTGAGCTGGGACACGCGTGGGGGCTTCGTGGGGACCCCAGCCCACACCTGGGACATCCTGCCGGCGGCTGAGATGATTCCCGGGGATCCGGAGTTCCCTCCTCAGGACCCTGACCTCCCCCGACCCCTGCCCACCAGGGCACCAGGCAGTCCCTGCTACCCACCGGCCAGTTGGCCATCGTCAAGGGGGGCTTGATCTTGATTTATTCAAAACGCAATCTGAAGACCCGTAGGAGGGTCCTGCCTGGGGACTGAGGGCCCTGCCAGGGTCCGAGGGGCAGTTCTGAAAGCTGGGGGGGGTGCCCCAGACACAGCGCGCCTGTGTGCAGGGGCAGGGCGGGCACCACACAGGCCAGGGCCCGCCTCCAGGGCCCCGTGACTTTGTTTGTTGTTTGTCAATCGTCACCTGAGGGTATTTTTCCACTGATTTTTAGAGAGAGAGGAAGGGAGGGGGAGAGACAGAAACATCCATGTGAGAGAGAGACATCGAGGGGTTGCCTCCTGCACGCGCCCCGACCCGGGCCGGGGATCGAACCTGAGACAGGCACGTGCCCTTGAACGGGAATCGAACCAGAGACCCTTTGGTCTGCGGGGCCAGCGCGCTAACCACTGAGCCACCGCCAGAGCGCCTGGGGACTTTTTTTGCTGAATTTTTCCTAAATCCCTGAACGTGGCCTGGTCCCGATAGAGGAACCTGAAGGTGTGAGAAGCGGGTCACTTCCTCTGCGTGCTGGCTGCCCGGGGTGACCCACCGGGTCCTCCTCCAACCTCCGGGTCTCGGGGTCCCTCCACACCCCGCTTCCCTGTGTGTGTGTGTGTGTGTGGGCACAAGGATCCTCAGGGGTTTGGGGTCGCGGCTCCCAGGCCCAGGGAGGGCCCCATAGGAGCCCCTGAGTCCACCTGCCCACAGAGGGCAGAGCACACGTGGTCCTGGAGCCGCCTTGGAGACACAGGGAGTGGGGTGCAGGGAGTGGGGGCACGTGAAGTGGGGATAGGGGGCACAAGGGTATGCAGAGTGGGGGCGCAGAGGGGTGGGGGCGCACGGAATGGGGCACGCAGAGTGGGGCGCAGGGAGTGAGGGCGTGCAGAGTAGGGGCG